TAACTCAGACGGACAGATACACACTCATGCTCGTGCACAGTTCCCTATAGAATCCAGCAGGGTTTATCCTCAGTAGGAAGAAAAAAAGCAGTCACATTAAGACAGGCACAGAGAAGCAAAGCGTTCATGTGCATGGGCGTATGATCCTGACAGATGTCTGTACAAAGAAGCCAACAACTTTTAAGAGATAAAAATCTTTACCGGGGGCCTCTGTGGTGGCTTCAGTGTGTGCTCCAGGCTTTCAGAGGGGGAGGACTCCTGCCCACCTATGGCCACGGCTGGCTGCAGGTGCTTTGGCAAGCCAGTCTCTGCTCTGCTGACCTATTTTTCCTTTTTGCCAAACTTTATGATTTTCTTCCACTCTAGGTATTTTGTAGCACATCATCTAAGCTACCATCATGCTGGACTTGGAAGTCCCCATCTCACCCTTAACTTTTTAACTAGGTTTTCTAACAAAGCCTAGAATAAACCTGTGTGTGTGTGTGTACACTTAATGTGTAATGGGGTGAAACTTTGGAACTGGTAAGCTTTCCCTCCCACTCACTCAGCTCCCTCCCACCCAAAGCCTGTTTGCTGCTTCTGGCTTCAGAATTACAGCAGAGAGATGACCTGTGCTTCTGGGAAGGTGCACTGTGGCTGGTTTTCTGGGCTTAGAGTTCCTTGTTCTGGCTGAGTTCCTGGTGGCCTTAGGCAAGTCCAGGTTCCCTATTCATAGTTACTGCCTAGAGCGGGTACTGGCCACAGTTGTCATGGTAACCAGCTAGTCAACCAGAAAGTCTTAGAGCTCCCTTGTGATTCCCAATGTTTGTCCTCACCATTAGTAATAATCTACAAATGCCCACAAATTTATTTATTTATTTATTAAGATTTTTGTTGGTTTATGCGTATATAACTAGGGTACAGGCTAGAGGTGCAAGGTTGGTGAGAAGATTCACCAAAGACAGTGGGGAGCAGAACAGGTGGATCAGTGAAGTACACTGTTGAGGAGAGCTGCGAGCGAGACTGGAGAGGTCTGCCGCGCCATGTGGGTCACCTCCAGGCTGGGGATTGAACTTGCACTGAAGTGACTTCAGCCAGGTTGCAGTGCTGTGTCCTAACCCGTTG